ATTTCAGACAGTCAGTACGTGTTTAACAAGGAATTGCTGATATCGGCGTGCATGATCTTGTTGTGAACTTTGTACCTTTGTGGGGCAAATTCGTTCTGCATCAACCACTACCCCTGCGGCGCTGAAGCAACGAGAGATTCTGTTTGGCTCTCATCCAAACTTGATTATATTATCTATGTGTATGTCCACAAGCTATCTCAGTTTTTTTTTTCTAATACGAAAAATTCAGGTTTATGAACGTTTAGTTCCGTTTCACAGTGTTTGAAATAGTGTTTTGTTGATCGAACTAATTTTATCATGCAGCAGAATTCACGTAGATGTTTCACATTCTTTCGAAGTTGTTATTCTGTGCAATAATACTTCGTCGGTGAAATCACGTCTCTGTCTCCGTGTCCGCACGAACTGGCTGCAGTTTTTGACTGCTAGTGCATGTGGTCACTCGTGGTATGTTCCCTTGATTACTGCCGTCGAAGTTTGATCAATCATCGATGTCGGAAATAGAAAAAATTGTTATGAAACAAATTTGCTTTGTGTGGTCGACTTTTTTTTTATATAAAACGCTACGTTCTTGCATGGACACAACAATCATGAACATTTTAACAAAGCTCTCATATTTTAACTGGAGACTGTTGCATAATGAAATACTTCCTATACCAGTCCGACAAAGCGGATTTGCCATTGCCACGTCGGTCCAAGGTACGCTCCATAACATTACTTTTAGCATGGACCTATTAATCAGATGCTTTTAGTGTTTACATTGAGCAATAATGCGTACGATATGGAACGCCGTTACTGACTTTAGTAGCGCAATCGTTACGCAGTCTAGTGCTACTGAAGTCAGTAACAGCGTTCCATACTACCCGTATTTTGAATTCTGAGTCAAGCCGAGTATATCATTTTGTCAGGGAACACCGCTTTGAAAAAGAGGCTTTTTACGGTGTTCAGTGCATTACGCATTTAGAGGTTGCTACAAACAACCATGTTGGGTCGGAAGTGGGTGTGAACTCCAGGATCTGACTGTCAGGATCCGACATTTCACCCGTCGTCACTAAATTCGAACACCAACACAAGATTTTCTGAAAAAGGCAAAAAATTAATAGCAGAAACCCAACCGCATAAAGAGCCATTGTTTACAGAACATCGATTCGATGTCCCAAATGATCAGATTTGCTGGGAGGAAGTTGGTTTATACGATGTTGGACAAGTATATACATACGATATCTTGATGAAAACTGCATTTACAGACGCTAGTGGGTGTTATCTGTAATATCACAGGACGAAAACAAATAATATATGGCTTTGGGAAGTATTCAGAAAGTCATGGTATAAGTTTCACCCGGCTCCGAGGGTTAGAATTTGTTAAATTATACTTTAATCTATTAATTGCGAGGTTCGGATGTGATCAAATTGATGTTTAATTGAATACGGAATAAAGCACTTTTAATTAGTTCAATTTACGATTTATCTTGCATCTGATCCGTATTGGATGTTTATTGGATCGTCCTCCTTGTGTCTCGTTGACCTCGCGTCACCCAGATATTTTTATGCGGATGACGTGTTTTGTGAGCAAGTGAGATTCATTCATGTACATTTATTTCTCTTTTCTTTTATACGGTAGTACGTTATTTTGATTAGCATAACAAAAATAAGAAGGGCAAGATCCCGAAAATTAAAGCTTGAGGTGGGCTGCCCACTTACACAAGAAACAGAAAAGGGTACAAAGGATACAAGAAAATAGACAGGACAGGCTAAGAGAAAAAGAAAGGGAAATTTAAAAAAAAAGGATGATACAAAAACGCCATTTGTCAGACGAAGATTTAAAATGTAGGAAAGGGGTTCCGAAATAAAATTAATAGATTGTCTAATAAACTTCATCGTCTTGAGTTCCCACAATCATCTGTTATCACGGAACAGTCCTTCACAGCCGGTTGTTGGGTTTTATTTAATTTTAATTTTCTTTCTTTCTCTTTTCCTGTCTTTTCTCCTTTCCTTCTTTTTTCTTCTTTCCCCTTTTCTCTTCCTTTTCCTTTCCTTTTCTTTTTCTCTTTTCTTTCTCTTTTTCTTTTCCATAATAGGCCTATATGAATTAATATCATCAATACCAGGTGCTTTGTTGCTTTTCCAGATCCCTTACGACACAAGGTAATCCGGTATAGGTACCGTAATTTTTTTGGGACGCTTGATTTAGATTCACTCATGCGTGCAGTTCAGCCTAACTCCGTATACCTCCATGTTCTGCCGGGGAAATCTTTTGATTAATTCCTATAATAAAAATAAATAGAATGTTCTATTCATCATAATGAGTGCACGTGTCTTAGGTCGTTAGTTCGCACCGGTCTCTTCACTCCAGCGTGTGTAAATGTGCTAAGAACATTGATGTGTAACCCCCCTCCCCTCCTATTGAGGAAACACATCTTCCCCTCCACGTGTTTATTAATGTTCATGCTGTAGGCCTAATTGATACGATCATTTATACAAATGATAATAATAGCTATTATTATTATTTATTATTATTATTGTTATTATTATTATTGTTATTATTATTAATAATATTATTGTTATTGTCTTTTATTATTATTAGGCTATATATTATTTGACCTATTATTATTGTTTTATTACCGTATTGTTGATATTGTTGTTCGTTGCCAATGTTTAGAAAAGGTAAACAAACCCGGTTTACTCGCCCCATATATATTTGTTGCCAGAAGTACATTAACGCACGTTAACAAAAACCGAAAGGTCCACTGATTAATCTCAGATAAGAAAGTACAATACATACTCCAAGTATTGAAATACACGCCATCGTGTTGGGATTCAATATTTCGACATTAATTATGTCATCATCAGGCATGATGACATAATGATGATATGATGACATAATTAATGTCGAAATATTGAATCCCAACACGATGGCGTGTATTTCAATACTTGGAGTATGTATTGTACGTTAACACGTGTGTGTTCTGGTTCTGGTGGGTAAAGATCGACCTCCAAAGGACTCCAAAATGTAGGGGTAAAACAGGAAGAGTAGAATTGATGGGAAGTGCGAGTATTCCTGATTGACACTATGGACCTTTCCGCTAAGCTCCGCCCCTTGGATTTTGTTGCTAAGGTCCCACAAGACGGCAGTGTTAATACATACGCGAACACGTGCGTTTTTGGACAACACGTGTGTTTGTGAGACGCGCGCGTATTCCTAGCGCTGTTCTGATTAGTCAGTTGTTAAGTTTGATTGACACTCCGGAAAGGTCTATTCTAAATGGTAGTTCGGTTTGATTGACACTCCGGAAAGTACCGTAACAAAGCTAAATGCATTTTTTCGGAATGGACATAGCTTTTACGTATTATACCCAGCCACCCCATTTTGTCCTTTCATTCACCCCAACTTCGTTATGCCTCTTAGTACTACTGTAGCCGTGGCGCCGACGAGTCATGCGCCACGAACCAGGGTTCCTGTGTCGCTTACTCACTGTGAAACATACCCTTGTATATTTCAGAAGACTGCACGCCAAAAACTTGTTAGGAAAACGGAAAGCATGCAGTTGATTGCTATCATGGAATCGTGAATCAGATATCTGAATTAGACGTCAGTTTTTGTTCTACTGAAATTTGGTCTACCAGTCACCATTCGTGGTCTCGGGTCTCCCGTCAGTTTCATAACTTCCTGATTAAATCTTGAATATGATGTTTAACCAGATAATCTACTACAATTATGAAAATGAATGTATGTAAACCCACCAGACACAATTTCTTCTGGTACGCTACCGGTACCGGCCAGTTCATCATTTGAAAATTTGCTTAGGAAAAAATGACATTGTCAAGTAGTTAAAAATTATCGAATTTCCCGTCTGTACTTACCATAAATTTCACACTTCCTTCCCCCTACCTCATTCCTCATCCCATATCATGTGAATTTCATATAGGCTTAGGTCCTATGCCACACCACAAACATGCCTTAATATAAGAATGTAAATCATGTTAAACGGTTTTCATAAATTGTCTCAAAAAACCAAAGAGAAAACACGTCAGAATGGCCAAGACATTTAGCGCAATTAAAATAAAAATATAGATGATGAAAATGATGACCAAATCACCTCATTTTGGCGTTCCATACATTGCGAACGAGTCTCTCGCGGCCGAAATGCCCTATCCGAGATAGCTTTACAGTATGCCTAAAAACAGCGCCCAAATGTATAAACCATATACATTTTCACAATTTTTGACAAACATAAATGTAGACCCCTAAGTAAACGTAAATTAACTTCGTTTTATTTGATAAGGAAATTTGGGATGACGTTACAAAATACAGAACATGGTTATCAGTTCATTCCAGCACGATTAGATATTATAACAAATAAATATGATTTTTTAAGGGAGTAGATATCAATGTTGATGGGTTTGTTTATACTGCTATTCCCAATCATTTAGGCCTATCGGAATGATATTGACACAGGGTTCGATAACCGACTCACGCCAAAATCCTCTTCAATATATTAGTCGCCAGTTGGACTCGCGGGAGCTGATACAGTCACGCGCGCAGACTACAGGACATTTATGAAGTGTAACCATCAACGAGTTCCTTTTTGATGCAATAGAAAAGGAAACCAAAAGAAAAGATTTGTCTGATAGATATTAATGTGTAGAAAATATGTCAAAACGATTAGTGATATTTGAAAAATTGATCTGATTGAATAAAACTCATTTAAGCCAAATCGAGGATAAGTCGGTCGGCAATTTACAGGTACCATGCCGGGGTTCTTGTCGAGTTCTTTCCTACAAATGCAATATTATCTATTACCTCGAGTAATTGCTCAAGATAAGTAAATTGAAACTAGAAATAGGCCTATTTTCATGAACAGACCTGTCAACCCGTACGCACTCGCCGTAAGTCTTACGCATTGGACAATCAAATCTTATGGTCTTACGCAAACACCGGTAAAACTTACGCTTGCGCTTTATCCTAAAATTTTAGTAAATTTTGTTTCTTTATCAGTTTGTAATGAATTTTACTATAACTAACATCCATAATCATAACATTGTAGCTCCATGTTTCAATAACTACTGTATCTGAGATCATTATAAACTCACTTAATATGCCATTTAAGCCGAAGCGTTCAGGGGCCTTCGGCCCCTGGACCCCGACTGGGAGCTCTTGGTGACCCCCTGGCCCCCAACCACTGTTCGTGCCTTCGGCACTCATCATTATGTGTCACCCTATCTTACTCTTTGAAATTTCTCAAGGTTGACAGGTATGCATGAATCACTTAATAAGTCTCTGAGTTTTTGACTTATATAAAATCAACCGCACCCAATAGGCCTACACCCGAAGATTCATTCATGTTACATGTCTTCAGGCTTAGCCACTAGGCCTCATGATCGTCATCAACAATGTTATGGTCATTATCATTACAGTATGTCATCGCCTCTCAATATACAGTATCTCGGTTGCATTGATCAAATCTGTCTTTTTCTGCTGCAGAGTAAAGAGTTTCCACCCTACAAATGCCGATATCATATCTTCGGGGATCATGTTTTGTCGTCAAATGCTTAAGAAGGGGGTGGGGTGCATCAAGGACTAGTGCTGTTCAACTACGCATGCGCATTAGTGTGATGCAATAGTTGATTTGACTCTTTCCATCAAAGCCAGTCTGCATAGACACCAGAAGGTCCCGGGTTGGAATCTCGGTCGGGCCACTTATTTTTGTTCACACTCATAAGTTCCTCTTCTTTAACGTTAAAAATGTATACATATTTATACCATTACCGCAAGACGCTTACCTCAGCCCACCATGGGAGTATGGTAGCCAATGACACAGGATTGATTGATTGTGTTAAGGTTAAGTAAACATAAACATGTTGGTAAAATTTTAGTGATGCAAGAAAACCTATAACTCCTATGTACAATAAACCAGATTAATAAAGTAATATGGAGGGCAATGTTCTATTAACACAGCATAGGCCTATACAAATATCACAAGGGTGGTCGGAAACATGGTGTATTAACCAAACCAAATTATACCGACGACGACAACGGCCACTATAAAGACGGCGATGGCGACTAGTTTGACAAAAGCACCATGTCATACAAAAATCTTTTCAAAAGACCAAAAGAGTCAAACGTTGGTGAAGGAGAGTCGGCATCAACCGACATACAGGAGCAGGGGCGGATCCAGAGATGTCTATAAGGGGAGACAGGGCGAAAGTGGGGCCGATCGAGATAGCACCATCCCAGGGGGTCTGGGGGCAGGCCTCTGCGAAAATTTCGTTTTCTAGACGCCTAAAAATAACATCTGAGGCGTTTTGGGCGATCAATTTTCTTTTTCTTTTCTTTTCTTTTTTTTACTTTTTTATTTTTTAACTTTTCAAAAGGGAGGCCTCCCCTAAATCCGCCCCTGAGGGGGATTAGGACTGCAGTCCGGTCATTTTAGGGTGGTATGGTACCCACCAAACACACACCCTGCAATCACATATACACGTCCGCATTTTGAATTAAGAAGCACTATTACAATATACCATGAAAAACTAACACTATAATAATAAGTATAATAGTAGTAATAATAATAAGACTATCGGTATTTACTAAATTGGTCCAGCGGACACGTTACTTCCTCGACACTAAATGACATCCCCACTTGTTTTACATATTGAATTGTTGAAACCAGGGCTCTCCTCTTCCATGATCTGCTCACCATTGTAATTATTAGTGTGTTTGCCTTTTGTTTCTTTAATAATTAAAAGAAAACAAACTAAGATGGTTAATTAATTAGAACTATCCATAACCGGACCGACCACCTGTCGGCATGTTTTTCACACGCTAGAATCCACAAACTAATAAGGTGCTATTGTCCGGGCTACCGGTTGTGGTCAGTGGTCGTCGAAACAGTGATCTCTAAAGTGTACACTAATACCGGTATCTCAAGATGAGACCAGGTGTAGTACAGGCATTTTTAATGAAAATATTTCACTTGGCCTAAAAAGTTGATGGAATGAAAGTATTATTTTAATTTCTGATAAATTTTTTTTTTCCAAGTACCGATTGACCCCGAGTTTGGTCATTAAAACAACGCCAAATCAAAATTTTATATTTAATTTGCTGTTCAAAGAATGCAAATAAATGGAGTGTGAATCAATGAAAACTGGACAGGTATTATACCGAACGCTCACGTATCCTTCCTTTTCACATCTCCTCTCTTTTTCTAATACTTCCCCTCTATTCGTTCCCTAAGTTCCACGCTTCTCTCCATCATCCTTTTCTCTTCGTACAGTTAAAACGTATTAAGACAATAGATTACTAAGTTGGTAGCCTACACATTTTTATAAGAATACTGAAGCTGAAGTGCTTAAAAAATAAGAACAAAATAAGGCTGAGATACGGTAATAATGTCCAAAATAAATAAAATATTCTTTTGGTGTTATCTGTACCTTGTGTGCAGTAGGTGTGACTACGTAGGCTACGGTACCTTCTAAGACAGTATATTATATATAGGCCAGGGCCTACTGCTGTACAATAATTTTCTATCTTTGAAAAAGCCGGGCAAAATTTTACTGGTTCTTATAAAACAGAAAGTGTAGACTTATTTGAACAGCCCACCGCCTACGTTTTTAGCAAATTAATGCCCGATGATTTCTGTAGTCATGCGCATCTTTCTTTATCTCACGGTTAATATATCATCAGTCAACCGATCGGCTTTGTGTTTAGACACAGAAGAATATTATAATAGAGATTTATGTTACAGACGAGCTATTGAAGTAACTCTTGCTGATGGTTTTAATAATGTTCTCTTGTCACGCAACGCCACCAAGTACACTAATTCCCTGACACGTTAATTTTGTTGAATCTTCCACTTAATATTGACGAACATTAATGTCTTTTTCAAGCCGTCATTTTGTCATGGATGAATCACTTAATGGTAAGTTTGATTGCAGCAATATTTTTTTTCTTTTTGATATACAGTTGTCTTTGATAAGCATAGCAAAAATGTCCTCTCTCCCTCTTTTTACCCCCTTAAACAATCTTGAAAAATACATTTAGCAGTACATTATTATAGGCCTATTATCATTAATTCATATTTTTTTCTTTTGATATGTAGTCTTTCATAAACATAGTAAAAACGTCCTCTCTCTCTCTCTTTACCCCTTCCCTTACGTAATATTGAACCCGTCTTTATCCTGTAGTATTAGGCTATAAAATATACATTTAGCAGTACATTATTCAATAGGCCGATTATCATTAATATTTCGTTTTAATGAACTGGGGATATCAGTATGAAAAAGGGCGCAGTGGTGATGAAGACAATGAGGTGTATCTGAGACGTAGTAGTAAGCTTTTTGACAACTTAACCCGGCACAAAAGCAGTGAGCTATTGCTATTTATAATAAATGTCAATAATTTATTTTCAAAATTGAATACCTATAACCGAATCCAAAATCGATTTTTACACCTCGTCGGTATGTGCCTATTCGCATTTAACGCTGAGGTAGTATACAATTGTGAATGTAGTTTCGACATGGGGTTATTGTCAGTTAAGCTTCAAGAAACAGAACTAGAACAACCGTTCTGTTAAACTATCCACCTATACTCAACAACCCAAATGAGTATAGGTTGTGCATAGGCCTACTAAGGCCTGTTATTTTAGGTATTATTTCTTGTTTACTGTAGTTGTATAAAAAAAAAAACGGTCCTTTCTCCCGACGTCGCATTGTTATCGAAACTCTATCAAACACTTCAGAATACGAAACAGGAATACCTTAAATATGGATGACCAGTATATGGAGCTTTTGCTATAGAGCTATAACATATGAACAGTTACTGTTCAATCGATTCTTTAAAATTCAGTAGGTCTTGTTTTTTAAATAGATATGGTTCAATACAATGAATTTTTGTTGTTACTGCATTTATAAAGAAAATTGCATGAGAACGATCAATACAATGGAAATGGCTGAAACGGAAAGGTTCACTGATTAATCACGGAGGAACTAGTTTAGTACATACGGTAATCCAAGTTTTGAAATGCACGCCATCGTGTTGGGAAATAGCAGATGTGGCCTACTACCGAAACCTGTTCATTAGATTTTTTTGTAATAAAATCAGCTAGGCTTTGCCTATGTGGTACCGTATTGAGCCACTGTTGTGGTGTTTTAAGAACCATAACTATAATTTTACTGATAATTTACTCACTTTGAAATGTTATGCTGCATCTATCAAGGTAGAAACACAATAAGAAAAATATTGACGATATAATATATCGATAATAATATGTTTTTACAGGGGCGGGTTTTTATTTTGTTATATTTTATTCCTTTAGGCACAATATGGCATATGGCCAAGGATTACCAATTGCGACTTCATCACTGTCCTATATCCACACATGATGTTTTACATAAACTATGCCGGGCACTCACTGCGCCGTACGACCGTCGCACGACGAATCCAACTCCGCTCCCTACGAGCGATAGACGACGCAACGCCGTCTGCTGATTGTCGGTAGCAGTCTGAACGGATCGTCATTAAAAACGATCCGTTGCGTGCGCGTCGTCGCGTTGCGTTCTTCATAGAATCGCGTCGGCCGTCGTGGGCAGTGAGTACCCGGCATTAAGTCTCATAACGAGGCTTGCGGAGTTATTTTGTCGTGAGAACAAAATCCTGGAATCTGGCAGGATTTGAACCCAGGACATTGGGGTTGAAAGGCGAGCATCTTAATCACCAATGTGCTCAAGTGTCAGACCTATTGTATTTTATTTCCTGAAAAATGCGTTTGTTCATATCTATGCCTACGAGTAAACATGATAATTTAAACTTTAAAAAAATGACAAAAGGTTTTGCCTTATGTCAGGTAATTAACACTGAAGATTCAGAGTGTCAATTAAGTTGTCACAAAAACGTCACAACATCGTTGATATCGTGTGTCGAAACGCGATACAAATATATAGCCTAGCTCAAAAAAGAATGGTGTTCTTAAAGTGGCCGTCTCTAGTTTTAGGTGATGGTCTCTCGATTCCGTAAATTACAGTGTGTCACGTCTAAATAATTAGGCTGCTGGCCTATAATTAGTAGCAAATGAAAATATGGAAAGGGTCAATATGTTTTCATTTGATTCTGGAACAGAAGGATAAATGCCAATGCTTGCTGTGTCGTTGGGTGTAAGCCACTTCGCTTTTGTTACCCCGTCCTTCGGGTGGGGCGTCGTTAAGTTGGTCCGTGCGTATAACATCTCACAAAAGAGAACTCAAACACTATTCGGAAAGAGTATAGGATTACGTCAGATCGCCCTTTCAAACTATGCTGAGATATTGAGTTAACAATCAATCTTCATTACATATAGGCCTACCATTAATATACGCAACGAGTTACACGATATTTACAGTATCTTATAATGTGTTTGAGATCGTGTGGGGTACACTGTTCAGACGGAAAAATAAATATAACATTTAAACTTTATATTGATATCACCATGGGAACACTTCTACTTGGTGATTAATATACGCTAAACCTGTCTCACCGCCACATTTTACCGTCTGATTAGGTTTATTGACGATGTATATGCATAACCTATTGCTTTGCTGCCAATATTTCGATACGAAGTAGGTCGCGCGTATTCTCGCAATGATCGCCCACAGGTACGTTCTATCGTGCTTAGCGATTAGTAATTTATCTACTTCTTTTTTTGTGTGTGTTCTCTCTGCACTCCCCTCGTGTTTCAATGTATTGTCTGAAGCTGGGTGTGTAACAGCCGATGAAAATTAAATGGCAAGGACTGGAAGGGATTTGTCTTCAATTCATCAACGCTTGCAAAAGTAATTTTAATGGGAGACATTACAGTCTCATTACAGTGACATTTACAGTGCTCAGACTTCTGACGGTGTCGTTAATCGCTTGGCGGCAGGTACTTTTGCAACCTTGTTTTAAACACCTGTATTCATATGCCCACGCATAATAATAATTTTTACGTCATAATTATTTTCAAGCGCGCAGACTAATTTACATTTAGACTCGTAAGCTCATCTTTATTTCATACAAAATGTACAATTGTGTAGGCCTCTGTGGTTTTGCTATTTATTGCAGGCTATTTTCTCTTCATCTTTAATTTTCAATTTTTCTATCGTTGATACTGTTTTCTTTGTCATTGCTAACCTCCTTCACAACGCTGTATCGCCACAAATTCACCATTGCCAGTTATATCAAATAAAAAAAAAATACATTTAGGCCCGGGTACATTTTTAATAACATTCTTTTAAACGTATTTCAGATTACCCTGTGTTCTAGTAGTCAAGTGCGAGGTGTGTGTTTGGTCGGCTTGGTGATCTGTTACAATTCTCATATATGCTAAAGGCTCATTACCAGATTGATGGTCGATGCAACAAAACAAATTTCTCACTGCTGAGGACACTTAGACCGATGTCGATGCCTCTTAAGTCCTATATACGTAAAAACCGTAGCAAATACATAATTTCGATTCTTTCATAGCCCTTGACCTATAGCCTAATTGTCTTTAAATGTGACGTGGATTAAGGTAAGCTCGTAGATTCCATAAAACACCTGTCCGAGCATTTCGCCAAGAACTGAGAAAATTTTCGCATAATCATGAAAACAATTTGAGAATTATATATTTTCGTCATAATTCGTAAAAAGACCTTCCTTTTTAGCTTTTTATCGAACGAAGGAAACCAGAAAGAAAATATTGCTCTTCATAATAAAAAACATTTGTCTGACGTATACCTGGTTATCTTGGATTATCGATGCGGCGGCAGAGAAGACGGTGCAAGATGCTCTTGAAGAAACAGTGAAACTACTCACATCGGTTTAGGCTATATTCTCGGAGTGAATTGCTTTATACATAAATGACGTTCATGTAGTTGATGGAAATGATCATGTCGGAATCGCACAAACGCATTGGTAGCAGACGTTTGCGCCAGTCACACAGTGCAAACATCATGAAGAAAAATTCTCTTCCCAGAGTTTTTACAACGCCAGCTGAAGCATCAAAACATTCCGGTACACGACAGGTTACGAAAATAAATGGACTTCGGCAGATGTCTCAACAGTACTTGTCGCATTCTACTGCCCCTGCGAGGGTTTCTCCGAACAGATGCATAGGGAGCCCATGGTTTTCTGGTGGCGATACTGGTTTTCGTGAAATACACAGTGCTCCAAGCCATTGCTTCGTTAGGGGACCGTTTTCAAGTCCTTGCCCAAGTGTAACACCCGTGTTGTCGGAGGTTAGACGAAAATTATTGCTATCTGATAAATGTGAGCACACGGTGAAAGGAAAGGTAAGAATCTTTTAATTTGGATTTTTAATGCCCGTAATGTATTTCGATTTATCGTTTAGTGCTAATATTATGATTTACATGATTGTGGAATAAATTATGATATATCATTGCCTTGGTACCATCATCTATAAACGTTTGCCATTATAAATATCGTTATAGTGTTGGCGTAAGGTGATGCCCCCAACCAAAAAATTGCGTCTCCGTGAAATTTCCCTCCTCTCAATCCAGAGACTTTCCATGACTCCGTTAAAGGAAAATCAAGGAGGCCGAATCAGGGGTTAAAAAATGACAACTGTGCTAGAAACTACCGGTATTGCTCCTTGAAATTCTACCAGAACGCCAGTGTTATGAAATATGATAACTATTATTTACCTTTGTTCAGGACTTAACAATGAGTAACGCGAATTATTACTTTCGATGCATTTACATTTTTATTTCCGCAATATTTTCCATCTCAAGAACATCATTTATTGTATGTATATTGGTCATTAATAAATATATGTTTTATTACTTTTGTGTGTGGTGTAATATATGGAGTACCGGTACCAATTTTTAAGAACAAATTTGATACGATAGCATACCATTCCCAGCCCCCAAACACACTCCACACCCATGTTGTGGTGAACGCGAACCCTTAAAGGAAAGGCGGGGTTCGAGTGCTTTTATTGTTTTTACCAAATTATTAGTATTTTATGCCTTAGATAATGATGAAGTGTCTACGTTTGTTGAAGAATAACAGTTGTAGGGCCTAGATCACAGTAAACCACCTATCGCTATAGTTGCGACCTATTTATCATAAATATTGCAGAAAAACACTTGTTTTGATGGTGATCAAAGTAATTTTTCTGCTATTATTCAGGTAGTAGACCTACTTAATGTCTAAGCGTTAGTTTGTGAATTCTCGTTTCCTTTGCGTGCAACATTATGTAATGAAAGTTTGAAGCAGGTGTATCCGATGTACAGTAAATTAGAAGAACACTTACTGATCACCTCGAAAGTGGAAACACGTCATTTCCACGCATGAATGTTATGGTAAAATGAGGTCTGATGGAACGAATAGGCACATATTGATGAAAACACAAAGGATGACAAAGGACGAGAAAATCTGTCTACCACGTAATATACCATCCATTATAGCATTTCCAGGACCACAATGAAAAACATTTCTTTAAAATGATTGTGTCATCCTGGCTAAAGATATTAGTAAATAAATAAAAAAAAAAAAAAAATAGCATTTGTGGAGCAATTGACGAATCGTGGTAGCGCGGACGATGACAAATTTAGGAAGATGTGTGTGTGCGGGGTGGGAGAGGGGTGGGGATGGTGATAGGATAATCTGTTTGAGAGAAGTAGCCAAGTGAATTATGGTGAATTCATCCATTCATTTTTAAGACGAACCTTATTGTAAAGACTAATTAGACATCACACACATTGGATTAATAGGACCATTAAGTAGGCCTATTACTCCGCCCATTAACTGCGGTATTTATTCAACGTTGTTTACAACACACTGTATCTTTTTAAAAATTCATCAGGATGACACCATTTCTAATTAAGCCAAGCATTACTGGACAGTGTACATGAATTCGTTGTTATGGTAACGAGTTCTATGACGGACGGGTGTGGATGTTCTTGTCATTGACTGAATTATAAATTCGCGTTAACACAAACAAATACGTTCTCACTTTGTTATACAGTATTTCTGTTTGAATTTATTTTGCATACAAGTATGAATAATTCGATAAAATTACAAATATAATAAAGATAATTAGGAGTGGAGTTGAACAGCTCTGTGGTTGAGATGCTTGCCTTTTGATCCCAGGGTCTTAGGTTCCTGTCACATCAAGGCTGTTTTACGTCTGTTTTATTTACGTCTTGCATAGGGCCTAGATGTAATTAAAAATAGGCCTATGCCTATTAACAGTAAAAACAATTCACTCTCTGCAACTTGTTATATCAAGTGGATACATTAACAATGCACGCTGTGCTATTTACTTAATAAAATAATGATCAGTAAGTAGAATTGGACAGTCATGAAACTCTGTCGTATAATCATAATACAATGTCAAATCTACCGGTTCATTTTTCGTTCCTCCTTCAAACCCCAGAGTATCTAAAGTATCGTCTGCTTGTAAGAGGTTACTCGTTTCTCGAGCTTTCCCGCGAAAAATTTTAATTTTAGTTGAGCAAACATCAATCTCCTCTTTGATGATCTCTGTTATACCATAAATAGAAATATGCGAGTGTACAGTCACAGTGAAATGTCCGGGGTACGATCGGAGATTGTCAAATGTTGAAAGACGAAGGTGCAGCCTGATATACCGAGGCCTGTGAACAACAGGCGGCTGCCAAAGTCCAACACTACAAACAGGGCATGGATTTGATTCTACTCTAGTTGAGACTAGACTCGGAGCATTATTTGCCATTTCTGTGTACCGTAATCCCTTTGTGAATTCCAGATAGTCGATTGTACCGTCTTGATCCTTATCGATGTTCTTGGCAAGCGCATGCAGCTCGACGGTAGAGCATGGTGCTTCCATGTCCAACATACCGGCTTTGAACTCATCGTATGTCAACACGCCGTCCCCATTAACGTCACACTTTCGAAATAATTCAATAGCTTTGTGTCTGTTACTAGCTAACCATCTATCTATACGGTCGACAAAGTTATCGAAAGAATTTGCGTCTGTTGTGAGGAGTTCGGTTGCTTTTTCAAGTTTCTCTCGTTCTTTCTCTGCCTTAGACAGTTTCTTTTTAGCAGACCTTTTCTTCCCACTACCTTTCTTCTTCCCTTTCTTGAGTGGCATTGTTGTGACTGCTTACTGAATAAAATTCTAGATCAAAATAATCCAAGTGTGCCTTTTGACACGAAAACACATTCAACATCTTCTGTCATAAAAGAACAGTTTTCTAGATCTTTAACATCTCCTATCTTAACGTCCATAACGTGTATAACTATCACGCAGACATAATTACATTACCAGATAACTGTATTCGTCTCGCCTGCTCTCGTGTTTGACAAAGCAATGGTTCTACAGTCGGTGGGTGCTCACGCACTATCAGATTTATTGTTGGTAACCACTTCCGGGTTTGATAAACTTTTAAAAACAGTTGTAAACAAAAATATATTCTATGTACTTTCATGAAAAGTACATTTTCACGAATGATATGAATTTAGCATACCTACGAGAAGGACTTTGATAACTTCAGACAACAATATTACAGTGAAATACTTGAAAGGACTTTAATACCTTCTTAGCAACACAGGACGCGTTGCCGAAGCGGATCATCGTTGCTAAGGCTTAATGGTATACAATTAGAGGGCGGGCTGTACTAAGGGAAATCAGAGCCGTAGATAGAGAGCAGAGCCGTAGATAGAGAGAGTTTGGCCAACTTGGCGCATGGGCGCCATGTTGTCACCAAACAGCGTGCGCGCGTATAGCTTTATAACATTTTATAAAACACTGATGCTGCATAAACTTTCTTTCATTATTCTGTTCATGAGGACAATTCAATTATGGGATTTTAGCATATCATTGTAAATATATAATCATATTTACCTAACTTTGGAATTAATTAATCAGTGACGTGCTGTATTATTTCGGGAAGATAAAGTGAGGACGATTCTTTATTTTTTTTTCGTTACGATTATCTTTTTGTTTTGAAAGTCTATCATCTAGGCCTAGGCCCTAGGCCTATCTAATTGCTAGCAGCCTCCTCTGAGGCTCCTAAGAGTCAACACTGCAGAGGAGAAAGTTGTGCAGACAGAGTAGGTTTGTGAATCGTCGGCGATAATATGTTAATTTCGCCTGTAAATAAATGATAAAAATATTAATAACATGAAAGTTTTATAATTGTATCTAGGCCTTTATTAGGCCTATGACTTCGTAAACTTTAATTTATGAAATAATATGCTGGTCATCTGCAAACCAATACAAATAGCCTAGGCCTATTTGTAAATTGTAATCTAAACAATAAATCAAAGTTGAAGAATTATTGCATTGAGAGAAATTTTTGTACAACATATGCATAATCATTCATAATCAAGAAGCTAGGCCTTGTAAGTAAAATAGCAGCATTCTCCAAACTTTGTTTGTAATATTAGTGAGTTATAATATTATCATTATTACTGTATTATTATTATTTATTATTATTATTTATTATTAATTATTCATTGAAATTTTGATTTGTAATTTGTAAAACATTTAAACGTTTTGATTTAAAATATGTATTAAAACAATCAATATATTATAATACAATTAGGCATATCTTTAAAATATATTTTTATCTTTAAAATCTTTAGTTGCACAATTAATTGATTTGTAAAGTACAATTGGGCATGTTTGCATAGCACAGGACTCCTTGGACAAGTTTTCGCTTTTATTGGATTCAATTTTTATTTTTAATTATAATTTAAGCTACCTTTGACTGATTCTTCATGTAGCTTTCTGATAGTTATATATAATTTAACAGCAAAGTGCAACATTGCATCTTTTTATAAATCATTGCTGCTTGAAAATCCTTCCTTTTTTTTTT